AGCGAAGATCAAGATTGATCAAAAATTCAGTGCGACGGTTGTGGTAGCTGCTGGTGGATACCCAGGTTCATATGCCAAAGGCACAGCCATGGAAGTCAGCACACCTCCGGCAGGTTCCAATATATTCCATGCTGGTACCGTGGTGAAGGATGGTCAGTTACAAACATCTGGTGGACGTGTCATCGCAGCACAAGCTGTTGCAGAAACTCTCGAGCAGGCCGTAAAGGATGCTTATACTACTGTCGATCTCATCAAGTTTGATAAAATGTTCTACCGCAAGGATATTGCTCATCGGGCATTCAGATCTTCATCTGCTACAAAGGAAGCACTTACATATGCATCCGCAGGTGTTAGCATTGACGCCGGTAACAACTTTGTCGAACGTATTAGAAAAGCGGTTCTTTCTACCCGAAGACCAGGAGCCGATGCTGAAATCGGTGGGTTCGGTGGAGAGATTGATTTGGAAGCTGCTGGCTATGCGGGTGCCCCAACTGTAGTTATGTGCATTGATGGGATTGGCACTAAACTTGCCATTGCACAAGCTATGGAGAAGCATGACACAGTTGGTATTGATTTGGTCGCTATGAATGTAAACGATTTAATTGTTGCAGGCGCTGAACCACTTGGATTCGTCGACTACTATGGCTGCAGTCAATTGAAGCTTAAGAACGCAGCAGACTTCGTAGAAGGTGTTGCTAACGGATGCAAAGATGCCAACAGTGCACTCGTTGGTGGTGAAACTGCTGAGATGCCTGGTATGTACCAAGGGGATGATTATGATGCTGCTGGTTGCGCCATGGGAGTTGTAAAGAAGGAGAACAGATTACCAAGGACAGATTTGATGGCAGAAGGGGATGTCCTTATTGGCTTGGCATCTGCGGGAGTTCACTCCAATGGATTCTCTCTCGTGCGAAAAATTATTGCGAGAGAGGGTCTCTCCTACAAAGAAGACAAGTGTCCATGGGATCCTTCCACCACCGTTGGTGAAAATCTTTTAACACCTACCCGCATTTACGTCCGCTCTTTGAAACCAGTGGTCCAGAAGCATTTGGTCACTGGCTTGGCCCACATCACTGGTGGTGGCTTGACTGAAAATGTTCCTAGAATGTTGCCATCTCATCTAGCTGCCGAGATCGATGTCGCTACTTGGCAATTACCGGATGTGTTCAAGTGGTTGAAGAAGGCAGGTAATGTCGAAGCTAGTGAGATGGCTAGAGCCTTCAACACGGGTATTGGAATGGTAGCAGTAGTTAAGAAGGAGAATGTAGAGCAGGTTGTGGGAGAATTGGAGGAGTCGGGTGAGAAGGTTTATACTATTGGAAAATTGATCAAGAGATCGGGTGAAGGCTGTGAGTTGAGAAATTTGGAGTCGTGGAATTAAAAAATACCTAGGTAGGCAGAACGAGAAAATGGGAAGGCGGATCGCAATGGGATGGGAGGAATTATGTTATACTAGCCGTCGGGGAAAAAGATTTTTCAGACTACGGATTCGTAGAATTTTCTTATTAATTATTATAATAATTTTGAAATCGTACGAATTCGTAGACTTCAGGTTCTCTTTCACCGACGGCTAGTATCAATATAATATATAAATCTAATTCTAATTCTAATTCTAATATCGTAATTCTATTAGTAACGAAAGACCCCCTTGTTGTAGCCCTGGAGATGAGGGGAACCCCCGATTAGTCATTCTGTTACAGATGTCTGAGAAATTTAGATGGATCTTCACAACGGCCCGAGCATGATCTGATCCAAGCGAACGAATTATATTTATTTTATTCCAATTTTGACCTGTCTGACTATAATCCTAGTTGATATGCCGAATTTTTCCAATTTTATACGAGTAGCGATATCGGGCAAGGCTGATAAAAAAGGTTACAGTAAAGTTTATCGAATGATTCGATAGCACTTTGTAATTCAAGCTGAATCTCTCATAGACACCTTCCATCTCGAGCTTCTTCTGCAAACCCGCTCAATAATAAAAAATGATTACCATAAGTCCGTCACCTCTATTTTCTCCCCGCCGCGCAAACCCTCGGTCACAGTAGAATCATTATTGTTTCCCGCGATGGTAGCAAGACATTCGAAACTGACGTCCATATAGAAGTACCCTGTTCCTCTGCGAACATTGGCCCCGGATTCGATGTGATCGGGCTCGCGCTGTCCATATGGCTCGAGTTGCGTGTCGAAGTCCATACCGCGGTGACGTCTCGCGCGCCCCTCAATTGCAAAATCACATATGAAGGACAGGGTGCAGAAGAGGTGCCGTTGACTGCGGATAGCAATCTGATTACGCGCACTGCGTTGTATGTTTTGCGGTGTCATGGCCAGCGAAGCTTTCCGTCCGAAACGGCAGTTCACATTATCAATCCGATTCCGTTGGGACGCGGACTGGGATCTTCGGGGGCGGCAGTGGTAGCGGGTGTTGCGCTGGCTAATGAAGTTGGGAAGCTGCAGTTGTCGAAGGCGAGGATGTTGGACTATTGTCTCATGATAGGTACGGTTGGATTGTCCATCGCGCTCGATATATCTAACGAGATACACAGAACGCCATCCAGACAACGTAGCCGCAGCATTGTATGGAGGATTCGTCGGCACATACCTCAACGAACTCAGCGCCGAAGACACAGAACGCAAAGAGATTCCGCTCAGCGAAGTGCTCCCTGAACCTGCCGGAGGAGTCGATACGGGATCCAATCCCCCCGAACCACCCGTGGGAATCGGGCATTACATGAAGTTTCCCTGGGCCCCCGAAATCAAAGCCATTGCCATCATCCCACAATTCGAAGTCGCAACCGCAAAAGCGCGAAGTGTCCTGCCTTCCTCGTATTCCAGGTCCGATGTCGTATTCAACCTGCAGAGAATTGCTCTCCTACCTTCCGCGCTGGGAAGATCACCACCCGATGCAGAACAAATCTATCTGGCAATGCAAGACAAGGTACATCAACCTTACAGAAAAGGTTTGATCCCAGGCCTCCCTGAGATCTTACAATCGGTCACTCCTAAATCTCATCCCGGTCTGTGTGGAATCTGTTTATCTGGGGCTGGTCCAACTATTCTTGCGCTTGCAACAGAAAACTTTGATGCAATTGCGAATGTCATTTTAGATACTTTTGCGAAGAATGATATCAAATGCGATTGGAAATTGTTGGAACCGGCGCAAGATGGAACAACTGTTACATACAGCTGAAAAGGCGTTGGTAAAAAAAAAAATTGTTTCGTCTTTTAAATTAAATTTATAGACTTGAGGAAATCTTAAGGCACATACATACTACCTTGCTGAACACGCCAGGTCTACTGTTAAAGAGAAGCAAAGATTTACTTCATCTTGCATAGACCATCAGTGCTTCATACGTCCTCATATCAGTCGAATTCCTCCCATACTTGTAGAGAGCCATGTAACCATATACGCCTTCCCTATAACGAAATCGTCCCTATCCAGGCAAGCTAATCTGACAAAATTTTCAAAGCGAATTTAACAATCATACAGCGTTTAAGCATGTAATTGTCAGTCTAACCCAAACCACCCCATGCACCTCGAATACGTCTTGCCAGTTGTATATCCTTCTGCATAATTGTGACTCTCTTGGCATGGATAGCGCACAAGTTCGTATCTTCGAACAGATGGACGAGAAATGCTTCGGCTGATTCTTGGAGCGCTTGAATAGCTTGTGATTGCCAGCGCATTCCCTCACCTTGAGGGCGTACTGAGAGTGCGATTTCACGGACCTAGATTCGCACCATGTTAGATATGGTTCTGTTTTGTTGATTAGGGCATGAGTACGAACCAAACGTGAGAAGGGAAGTTTGAGAAGGAGCAGATCGGTAGACTTCTGGAACTTGCGAATTTCCTTCAGAGCCAGGGTGCCAGGCTTATAACGGCGCTTTTTCCCTTGAGGAATTGGATCTCCGGCTAATTACATCAATTGAGTCAGTTTGTTGAGTTTAACATGCACCGTGATTTTCTCCCGAGCTTCATGTCAAAAGAGAAATTGAACTATTCATCCGTTTCAAACGCGCGCAAATCCATGAGTGTAGGAACAAAATCGGCTTACCTCTAACAGCACTATCTCTTGCCTTCTTACTCAAGCTCTTTCCCGCAACAGATTTTCCTGCTGGTCTGCCTGGTGCGTTTGCTCTTGGGCTACCCGCTGCTGATTCGTCGTCCAGTGACAAACGCTGCTTTTTATTCTGCATTTGCGACATTGTGAATATGATTACAATCCAAAGCTTTAGGGGTATTCGTCGAAAAAATATATTTTCTGCTGTGATTGCGCAAAGTGGTGCTCAATTTGCGAGATTCTTGAGAATATTGTTGTGACCGGGATGGATTCGACGACGCGGTTTTGCGCGAAGATGCGCGTCCTTGATCGTTGGACAGCTGATCCAATTGAAGGTGAATAGACCGAGCCGGACAATTTTGAGAGGGGTGAAATCGCGTGGAATTTCAATGGGTGGGTTGAGAGAGAAATGTACCTAGTTCAATTGGTAATTCTGGTCTGGTCTAGTTTGGAGTTGAATATTGAAGGGTTAGGAACCACAGCAACCATATTTACAATTCCTACGCGCTTTGACCAACTGGTAAAAAGGAAAGATGGCTACCTATATCCAAGGCTGAGACTTGAAACTGTCAGCCTTGCCTTATCTAAGATCGTCCCGCGGGTCAAAGGCTAGTAGTCATCGTTAGACCTTATGAGAACAGGACAACTTGTTCAAAGAAACGTCATGAGCTACAGATAAATTCTAAATACGAACCCACGACCATCCTTTCCAAAAAACAAAAAAAATCTTTCTGTCAAACTAAATTATTCAGGAATCGCATTACCTCGTATCACAAAAAAAAGTATCAAGATTTCCTCAATATCTTCACTTCGAAACTTCGAAATATCCAACAAACGCCATCACGCAAGCGCTCCTCGATTTATCCCATACCCAAAATTCCGAGCCTCGTAGTCGCATTACTGTCGCATTACTTCTATAACAGCCTCACACATCCAATTATGGATCAAATGATGGGAAATGGGGAAGGGGGCGCCGCCGGGTTTCCGCTCGAAACTTGGTTTTGGGAAATGCCCGTGTGTACCAGATGGTGGACGACGGCGACAGTCATTACCAGCGCGCTGGTTCAATGTCAGATCGTCACGCCGTTTCAGTTATTCTACAGCTTCAGAGCGGTATTTGTGAAGTCGCAGGTATGATTGCTTTTCCCATGGTTGCGCATCCGCGTTCGCATCTTGGAATCTCGCTGATTGAGTCTCTTTGAATAAATAGTATTGGCGCCTCTTGACAACTTTTATATACTTTGGTCCTTTATCCCTGGATCTCGTTTTCCACGTATTCTTCTTAACCCGATATTCGCGACTCCTTGAGGAATCATCCGGTCGATCTGCGGCGCATTTCTCATGGTTATTGCTCTATGCGATGACTTGTCTCATCTGCATAAATCCTCTGGTCTCAATGCCATTTCTAGGACACCCATTATCCTCGACTCTCGTATACATTTGGTCGAGACGAAACCCCGATACACAATTAAGTTTCCTTGGATTACTGGTTTTCACGGCTCCATATTTACCCTGGGTTTTGATGGGCTTCAGTTTAGTTTTACATGGGACGGTTCCAAAGGATGAATTGATGGGAGTAGTCATTGGTCATGTTTGGTACTTCTTTTGCGACGTTTATCCACCGCTACACAATGGACATCGTCCATTTGATCCACCAATGTTTTGGAGAAGATTGTTCGAGAGACAACCAAGAGAGGAAACAGCGGATGCAATCAATAATGATATTGCAATGGCCGCAGCGCCAGGGCCGGAAGTAAGATAAAAAAGAGTATCTCAGAATATCATGATGAAATTGCATGGGAAGGCGTTTGGGATTTAAGAAATTGGGTGTGAGCATTATTGTTCGCTGATGGGATCGTTCAGTAGAAGCACCTAGCAGAGATTTACTTTAGCCGCTATATCCACATGCTGAGGTTCTGGGGACATTTGTTCACATCGCAACCACAAGCAAGCGTATCAATATTATATTATTAAAATCATTGATAACTTATTGAGTGTGGTCATGAACTACTATCTGCATCTGAATCTACTTTTGATGGATTCGCCGCAGCCCGCTTTGCAGCTCGGTCCTCCTTTTTCGTTTTAGCAAACACGTCTACATCTCGAGCATCGTCTGAATCCTCCTCATTATCAAGCTCATCCACGGGAGCTATAGGATGATGTAGATGCTTCCAGTCCTCCAACTCTTCTATGATAGATCGCAAACGATCCCTAATACTCTCTATAGCGTAACTCCCTAAAAGTAATCGTAGAGGCGGGTAGGAACAATGACCTAATTGCCAAACCAAATCTGCGCATTTCTTAGCACTAGTAGGTTGTTTATCCCCCAGCCACTGAACCATTCTCTTCGCATGCAACGCCGGCGAAGTCGGATCGGAATATGGTTCACTGGGAGGTTTAATCAAAAAGTGTCCCCAAGTAGGTAGCGGACCCGAAGCCAATTCCTTCTCATCTCTCCTCACCAACCCCGGTTCTACCAACGTAGCTTTTATATTGAAAGCATCCACTTCGTAAAGCATCGCTTCGATCATCCCCTCCACCGCATACTTCGTCGCGCAATATGGTCCCAAGCCCGGAACACCCAATGCGCCTGAAGTACTACTGAATATCAAGTATCTCCCCGCTCCTTGCTCGCGAAAGTATGGTAGACTCAGTTGGATAATATGTACTGTGCCCATGAAATTCGTCTCGAACTGATTGCGGATTTCGTGCTCGTCTTGGTCTTCGCATGCGCCGATGACGCCGTAGCCCGAACAATTGGCTATCACATCAATGCGCTTGAATTTTTCAAGTGCCTGTTCTATAATTGTAGATACGGATTCTCGTACACGCACGTCGCAAAGAGTGTTGAAGCAGTTTGGATGCGGGAATGTGGTTTGCATCGATTCGATTGTATTTTCGTTGATCCGGCCGACGGCAACGACTTCGTCGCCTTTGGAAAGACATGCTCGTGTGAGACTCTGGCCCATATGGCCACTCGCGCCGAATATCTAGATGCTGAGTTAGTAAATGGAGGGTGTAGAACGGCCTTGCTAAGATAGATAGACGATCGGGTCGCAATTGGGAATACTTACTATCCAAACCTTTGGTTTTGTCTTATTATTTGGACCCAGAGGCTCACAGCTCAAAGGAAGTTGTAACTTAATCTTTTTACCATCGGCATTGATAGTGTTTTCGACTTTGAGAAAATCGGGAGACATGCTGTCGTGGGTATTGCTATGAGGGGCATTTTGTCCCGATGGTAGTAGATTGTTGTAAGAATCGAAGTTGGGAGTATCGGCAGGGCCTTCTCCTTCTTTTGAACTCCTCTCCTTCATCTTCCTTTGTATATTACTTTGTACGAATTCGTGAATCGCAAATGGCGATGATGAGTTGGTGCTCTCGTAGTGACGTTGAGGGAGCTGGGGAAAACTAGCCAATAGCGGGGTAAGCCTCCCCTTCCCAAAAGATTTGTTGCATATTTGCTAGCACTTTCAACTTTGGGGCCTTTGGTAAAAGTACCAATTTTATTGCAAATACAGTATCGCAAAGGTTTGAGGATCTTGAAAAAATTGTCCCGGGGATTTTGACCCAGAATTGCGAAAGTTATGGAGATGGGCGTTTTGGTAGTGATTCGTTATCGGTTTGTTTACAAACTCTTATCGTCCTCAAAAATTTCGTCTTATCTTTTATATCTTCATTCACTACACGGCATGATATGACGTAAGTCGGCATCTTTCTTTACTTTGATGGATGGTGGACGTTGATGATGAGATGGGACGGGAACAGATATTTTAAACGGGCACTGGCAGTTAGGATGGTAATCAGATGTAGGTATCTGGTATGGGTTCAAAGTACGAACTATATGACTTTCATCATTTCATCATGCCTATTCATTTATGCGACAACAGTGTACAGTATTCCAATCAGACCTAACTCAGACACAAATTGTTAGAACTGCTGAAATCGCTTTCTCGCTATCATATTCAGCTTGCAGAGTTTCATTACTTCATTATCGCCATTCCACTTCCATCATCTACCCTTCCATCTTCACTCTTCCATTACTGGCCTGCGATTGCAGGAACAGTTTGCAGATACTCCTTGCGGTATGGATTGGCATCGACCTCTGAACCACGGTTCAAAGGAGTCCATTTAGGTTCCTCCTTGAACAATCTCATTGCTTGGATATACTGTTCTCCTGTTAGTAATGGCGCATGCCAAAAAGAGCATCACAGAGGGAAACATACGTTGTTTTCATCGGTGGTAAAACGATGGTAGATACCGGCTGGGAGAATCTGTCCGCCAAAATCAGTCTCTATTCAAACACGATTCCAGCGCATCCATCAAAGGTACTTACGATCAAGTCGTCCTTTTCCAACCTAATGCGAACCCACTCATCGCCCTCACTCCTAACATCGAAGAAACCCGCTCCATCTCTGATATATCTGATCTCCTCATCTTCATGCAAATGCTCATTGAAGAACGACTTGACCTTCTCCTCATAGATATCGCCCATTTTCTCTGGTGAAACCGTAATCACATCGCGATTCTTGTAACTTCTGTCCGAGGCGAGCTTGTCGACATCTTTCTCATCTGCGAATCTGTAATAGAGAACTCCGAGCTTCTCCAAGTACTCCGGGTTAACGTCGCGACCTGAGTCGTGGAGTTCACGTTGGTCGCCCTATAAAAAACTATTTGTTAGTAAAAAGAAGATGGAGGGAGGGGTAGTGCAGTGGGGGTGAGGGGTACTTTACCTCCTTGTTATCAAACCAGTAAGCTCTCATTTTGAATTACAGTCAATTGAGTATTTCTGTATTTGGTTTCAATAGAATTGAGTGTGGTGCTTATGCTTCAAGTGTAAAAGAAAGGTATGAAAGAAGCTGCGATTTATTTGCCTTTTCTTGGTTTTGGATGAACAAAATATCTAAGCGGAAGCCTGAGTGAAATAAATGGAAATTCCTAGAAAAAAGTCTGCGCCCGATGAGATTGACGCCATTCACCCATTCATAAATAGTATCACACAATCACATTGCATCGCAACGTCGCACCCCAATCAGTTGATAATTTCACAATTCTCAATACCTACCAGGTAGATTCGCTCCGTGGGTCATAAATGAAGAAGGAGAAATTAATCAGCATTTGTTTTCTTTCCTGTCACTTTTTTAAATCGACATTCTGTGAGACGTCATCGTCCACTCCATCTCCGAAATGCTTGCAGGGGTATTTCCGTCAGTGGGTGTACGGATTGACGAGACACTGCAAAAATGGACTTGTGAATATCTCTCGATTTATTAAATCATTAGTCTTAGGAATTATCACAACTATTCATTGGAGATGGAACAATCAAGTTGTGAATTCTGATATCAAACAATGGAAGAATGAATTTATTAAAAATATCAAAAGTTGGGATCTGGTGGATGATTGTTCGCCTTGAGCATCATTACTATGATCTGAGGGAGGCTTGCAACGATGATCTACTCAGCTACTCGAGCATTCCATATACCGAAATAAACAAGAACGCAGTATTTATCTAGGAGCTCAAAGACAGCGGATACCGAGAGATCAAGCTGGAGCCTGCGAGTGTTTCTTCATTGATGAGCTACGCCAATGTAAAGAACTGCATGTCCACGGTATCTGATTGAAAACTAATTTGGACTTGCATGCATCGTCTCGGTTATCCTGGCTATACAGAGGAGAGGTCCATTATTCTCTCGGTTGTGTGAAAGCTGGGGATGTATGTAGTTCAACACCTCCGCCCTTGATAGCAGCCTCCACTCGAGCGGTAGCAAAGATGATATCTCCCATTTTGAGAGCTGTTGCCTGAGAGAGTTCGGATTAGAAACATTCCTCAGAGCTTCTCCCTTCCTTTTACCGTTCCCCACCTCTGCTTTAGAGTTTGACTTCTCGCTATGTTTCTTTATTAAAGTTATTGTATTCTATAATTGTTGATATCAACATGGGTATGGCGATATCATGTGTTCACACTGTTGTAATATTGCTTAATTAGGAGCTAACTGAGAAACTATTTAGTATAAACCTATCTAAATCTACGAGTAGGTAGTTGCTATGTTAGTACCGACACACTAGCACTATGCACTAGGATGATAGTTTATTTCTGAATGATATTGACGGCAATGAAGTATATACCTACTAGGTAGCTCTAACGACATTTGCTATCATGGGAAAAAACAATTGGATCTCATCACAAACAACAATAACCATTATCGGAAATCTCAATTGGGAAAGCTTTCGAAGGATTTCAGAGCGTGGCGCGTTGGTGGCTCGGTGCTTAACCTGTCTAGGGACTAACTGCGAATTTCACAGTACCATGTATATATGTAAACAAGCGCGTGATCTCCAAATTCCATTCTCTCTTCACCTTTCTTCCCTCTCATTTTTGTAAGCGCAAGATAATCAATTGGATCTCCATCTACAAAGCATTTCAATCAAATCGATCTGCGACGATAGATCGTTGAATACTGAATGTTACCCCAATATACCACCATAAATAACTACACTCTACAGTAGCAAACATCGAAGCGAAACTCCTGCATAAAACCCCGGTCCGCCCTTCACCTAGCCAACAATTTCGCGTCATTGCTTTATTTACAAGAGACCCTTCATGTACCTACATTTACAACATCAATTTTCCAAAAAGATTGCTGACATCAACGAAACATTAATTGCTATGGCTATCGTTCCGCGATTGATACCAGGCATGGGGATGGGTGTGGTCTCAACTGCATCTACTCCTTCTTTGCGATCGAGGAGAGATAGTGTTGTATCTACAGCCAGAGATGCGGGCGGAAATGTTAGAGTTGTGGTTAGAGTTAGAGGATTTCTTCCTAGAGGTGAGTATTTTAAGTAGAACAGGAAGTCAGGTTATTTTACTAATGGCGAAATAGAAATTAATAGAGGAGCTAAGTGTCTGATTGATATGAATCCTTTAACACAAGCAACCACTCTTCTAGTGCCAAACGAAACCGATCCTGCAAACTCTCGTTCGAAGATGCGCAGAGTCGTTGAAGAAAAAGTCTTTACATTCGACAATTCCTTTTGGAGCCACAACCAGTCTGATGAACACTATGCACACCAGGAGGATGTTTATAATAGTTTGGGGGAGGAATTCTTGGATCATAACTTCGAAGGATATCATACATGCATCTTTGCATATGGCCAGACTGGATCAGGAAAGAGTTATACAATGATGGGTACAGAAGATCAGCCAGGATTAATACCAAGGACCTGCGAAGACCTTTTTGAGCGGATCGAGGCAGCACATAATGAAAGTCCAAACATTTCCTATAATGTCCGTGTATCTTATTTCGAAGTTTATAACGAACATGTCCGAGATCTTCTTGTTCCATTCCACCCCAATCAACCACCCTATTATCTGAAGATTCGTGAATCCCCCACCGAAGGACCTTATATCAAGGATTTGACCGATGTACCTGTTAAGAATCTTTCTGAAATTATGCGGTACATGAAGATGGGAGATGCCAGTCGAACCACAGCAAGTACTAAGATGAACGATACAAGTAGCAGAAGTCATAGTGTTTTTACCATCATGCTCAAGCAGATCCACCACGATATGGAGACGGATGAAACAACAGAACGTACTGCCAGAATTCGACTCGTGGATCTTGCAGGTAGTGAACGTGCAAAGGCAACAGAAGCAACAGGTGCTCGCCTACGTGAGGGAAGCAATATTAACAAGTCTCTGACAACTCTCGGTCGTGTCATTGCAGCCCTCGCAGATCCAAAGCAACAACTTACCGTAAAACGCAACAAAGATGTCGTTCCCTATAGAGATTCAATCCTTACCTGGCTGCTCAAAGATTCATTGGGAGGAAATAGTAAAACCGCAATGATTGCGTGTATTTCCCCTTCCGATTACGACGAAACTCTCTCTACCCTTCGCTATGCCGACCAAGCTAAACGCATTCGCACGCGTGCCGTCGTCAACCAAGATCACGTTTCCGCTGCGGAACGTGATGCTCAGATTGCCGCCATGGCAGAGGAGATTCGTATTCTACAACTTCAAGTTTCCAATTCTGACTCTACAAGAAAAGAAACAGAAACTAAAGCACAAGACGAAAGACTTGAGCAATACCAGAATAAAATTGCACTCATGCAAAGAATGATGGAAGACAGAACCATGATATCAGAAGGTAAAATTCGAAGCCTGACAACTGAGAATGACGCCTTGAGATTGCATCTTAAATTAGCTTTGGAGAGCTTGAAGAATCCAATCAAAGTGGAACCTGCTAGAACTATTAGTATGGGCAGCATTAATTTTGATAACGTGGGCGAATTTGGGCACGATAAGGAGAACAAAACTATCGATGAAACGACTAATGAGGAAGATGGCTACGAACATGAGTATTCAGATGAAGACGAAGCTATCGATATGGGTGCACGTGAGGAGAGAGCAAGCGAGATGCAAGGTTTCATGGGCGATTTGTTAAAGGATCTGGATATGTTTAGGAAGAAGATCTGTGATGACAAGGGGCGTTTCGGTAGGGAAATGACGGTCAATGTTGTATGATTATGAGGAGAGGGCGGATTTTTATGGATTGGTATGGTTTCACGGAGGGAAAATAGGGCAAGCGTTGGTGTTATGGGAGGTTTGCATTTTTATTATACCAAGGGTAGGAAAGGGATTGGGGGTAGGATATGCAGAGTCATAGACTATAGCACAGTTTATAGAGTCTAATCAGGCATTAGTTAATATTAGCGGTGGTAATCTGAGTGTGCCATATCTTTGGATCAGATCAAGGGGATCAATGTCCGTTAATCGAGGCGCATAGACTTCAAGACAGTGCAAACAGTATGTCTTTTGTAGAATTAAGCCGTTAAAAATAAAGTCAATTCTTCTGCTCAATGAGTGATGTAAATTTTATACCCGGTTTGAAGTGTGATAGCAATTTTTGACGTACCAATCGGATATGTCAATCAAATAGCACTCCAGTCTTGAATATCTATGATTTCAATTTGTATCCTAATAATTACACCAAAGCAATACGTGGTATCCTAGTACTTTAAAGTTCCTCAATTCCGGCCTTCTTTCCCTCCTCCATCTTCCTATCGCCATCAGCATCTTGCTCCTCGGCCTCACTCTCACTTTCGCTTCCCCTTTCCCCGTCCCTCGTTTCTTCCAAAACACCCAGTCCCAGGTTCATCTCCACATAACTTTCTCCCTCCTTCACATCCTCTAACTTCCTATCTTCTCCTTTCTCAATCTTCTTCATCAATTCTTCATTCGCTTCTTTCATCTGTTTCAGAAAATCAGGAAGATTGTTGAGACCTTCTGAAGCGCCAAATCCGTCAAGTGTGGATACACGCATGACGGGACGAGCATTTAGGGGACGGATCATGGGAATCTCATCCTCGGAGTCGGCATCAGAAGAGGGTTCGGATGATGAAGCTTCGGCTTCGGATGATGTGTTGGCCTGGGAAGATGCGGGAGATGAGGATTTGGCTGGGTTTGTGGATGGTTGAGTGGTTGTGTTTGGAGAAGTTTTGCCGACAGCCGTACGTTTTCTCGAGGGGAGTTTGGCGTCGAGAATTTTTCGGGGGCGCGTCGATTCGCTGTCCATTGCTTCTGTGGGAGGGGAGGTGCGTTTAGTTGATGTCATGGTGGGTAGGCAGGTCAGGTGAGTTGTTGGGTTTGAGATATGGAGGGGACGTTTTGGAGAGTCTCAGCTCAGTATTGTGTCTCAGTGATAGGACCCAATGGTAAACCCGAGATGCAAAAGATTGGGTAATGAAGTCTCAAAACTAT